CAGGGAGGGGACTTGGTCCGGAGGAACACCCGTAAATGGTTTCAGCAAGGCGATGTGGAAGACATCATGAATCCGGCTGGTCTCTGGCAGTTCCAACTGGTAGGCCACACTGCCAATCCGTCGTAGAACCTTGAAGGGCCCATAGGACTTAGGGGCCAGTTTTGGGGCAACTATACTAGGACTAGTAATAGCTGCTCGGAGAAGCTATTGTTGCTGTTGTTGATCATGTTGTTGCTTCTGCTGCTGCAGTTGTTGYTGTTGTTGGTTGTCTGGCTGCTGTGGCTGAGGGTGTTGCTGCTGCTGTGGACCAAGAAGAGTCTGCTGCTGCTGCTGTTGTTYGCTGGACGGCTCCGTCAAGTCTGGTCGGAGGCTGTTTGTGGTTATAACCCCTTCTGGATTCCTCTCCMTGTTAGAGAAATACGATTCCAGCAAGCGTTGCAGCTCCCGGATATCGTCTTTGACCTCACGAACCTCCCTGTTGGTTTCTACAAGCCTATGCTCCAGTTCGTGGATCCTGGATGATAGCTGCTGCAGATCTCCCATGACGACCGGCTCTGATACCAAGTTGTTGAGGGCCCGGGAATAGGATCTCGTCACGGGTCGGTCCACGGGGAAAACCTCCTGTTTTCCTTTGTTCCTTCTTGCTCTTGATGAACCTATCTTGGCGCCTCTGGTGATTTGTTCAAGAGATCACCAACTCTCCTTTGCTCTCTTTCTTGACTGAAATTTTCGATATCCTCATTCAATAATGGTGTCTCCTTAAATAGGAGATTACAAGAGTCCTAATCTTAGAGAGTCTCCTTGCTGAATAGGGAGACTTCCAATTCTATCTTGCTAAGGATAAGATAAGCTAATCCTAATCTGATAATAAGATAAACTAATCCTAATCTGATAACAAGATAAACTAATCCTAATCTGATAACAAGATAAACTAATCCTAATCTGATAATAAGATAAACTAATGCTAATCTGATAACWWGMTAACMWAATACTAAWCTGRYAACTTACTAACAAGATAAGATAAGAGCAATAGAATAAGATAAGAACAAGCAAGATGATCTAATCTAATCTGGCGGTGGGTCARGTTCCTGTTGTTGCCGGCGGCGATGGTACGTCTTTCCGAGGAATGCGTCCATAACAAAAGTAGAACTATATAAGATCAATTTATTTTATATTTTTGAAAAGGTAGGGTAATTTTATTGAAAATTGAAAGAAGATACAACAGAAGTCTGTCAAAAAATGGATAGACCAGAACTCAACAACTGTTACAGATGCCAAAAAGGCGGAGTCCTTAGATACTGGAATACATTCATATGATTGAAAGCTGGATTGACAGCAACCCAGGAAACCAGTTTACTGACAACAACCCAAGATCAATTTAATTAACCTGCTAGTGTCAATGCTCAAAGCAGTTACAAAGAAACAAGATAGGGAAGGATTGCACAATCTGTCTGGGATTTGCTTCAATCAAGGTTTAAAATGTCTATGTTGGTGGAAATGTCGGTCATCCAAGTATAAGAAACATGTTGGAAATATTGTATGGAAATATTGTAAAAATTATAGACATGGTGGAAACATTGTAAAATATGCAAAATATAGAATGATATTTTATGAAATGACAAAAGAAGCATAGGCACACCTTTTTAAATTATTATCTTGTTCCAAATTATTAAACAAAACTAAGAAACTAAGGTTATAGACAAAAGAATATGTTCTGAAGTTTCCCTGTAAACCTTAAAATTTAGAACTTCATGATAGAATTAGTTAAAGCAGAATTTAAACTCATAGAAAATGTAAATGGTTGCAATAGATCAACCAAATAATCTACTATAGAAACAAAAACTATTATTTAACTCCATGTTTGAAATGAATATTGAGCTAGCTCAAAGTTGTAATCATGTAAGTTAGGTGGACAATAACTTGTTACTTCATATATCTACAATATTGTCACCAACTTATGTTATAATACTATCTCTTGTAACATGGAAGTGAAAATGGAAATATGTTGTGGATATTATTTCTTGTGCTCCACATAGGTCTGGTAGTGTTCATTGGGGAAATGTTGATTCCAGTAAAATTTCGTGTCGCTACCCATGGAAATGGAAATATGTTGTGAAAATATTAGGGAAATTAGGGACATTTTAAACCATGGCTTCAATAAAATAACATGGTTGTACCTCCCATACATTCTGTACCTGGTGCAGCCTACTCTTGATATTCACAAATACTGTCAGTGATGCCACTTATCCACTTCCACTAAAGTGCAAGTCTATACCACGACCATGTAATCACTTGTTGACTGTTTAGCTGGTTAAATTTCAGCATTCATCAGCAAATACAATAAAATGGTTAAGAGACAAAGAAGGGGGGCCATGGAGATTAAGTCACTATTTAGAGGAGGCCAGGGAATCTTTGGAATGCCTAAATGTAAAGTTAGTTTGGATTCCTAGGGAATACAACCATACAGCAGATGGCTTAGCTAAATGTGGTGCGCTCTTAGAGCATCTACATAGTGACAAACTTCCTCCTTTGTAAATTGTAGGGGTTCTCCCCCTGCTTTGTACACCTCCTCATGTATGTTGTTTTTTTGTCAATGAATATATATTAACTTTTCTCAAAAAAAAAAAAAAAAACTCAGCATTCAAAAAGCATGCCTTCAGCATGGGATTATTAAGAGTTACAAATAGAATGATTCTTCTCTTCCTTTTTGGTAGATGTGAATATTCATTTGATAAGAAATTTGTGCAAGCATGCTTCTCCTTGCCTCGTGTGCTTATTACAGCAGTCTTTTAACATTGACATGCACGTATTAAGCTTGATAAGAAAAAGCATGCCTTCAGCATGGGATTATTAAGAATTACAAATAGAATGACATTTTTCTTTTTCTTTTTGGTAGATGTGAATATTTACTTGATGAGAAATTTGTGCAAGCATGCGTCTCCTTGCCTCGTGTGCTTATTACAGCAGTCTTTTATCATTGACATGCACGTATTGGGCTTGACTAACATATGTGTATTGAAATCTTTCCTTTTTTTTATTAACTCTCAAGTCTCTAGGACTATTGTAAGTTAACCCAACCAAGTAAACATAATTAGAGTCATTTAAAGACAATAAATGACTTAGGTGGACAACTTCTGTTAAGTTTTTCTTTTTCTTTTTCTTTTTTTTTTTTTTTGAGTGAAGATAAAATATGGAGATCAAGCTGACAGAATTGGATAGAAGATGGATCAGAAGTGTATGGAGATCAAGAGGAGTTTGTTGGAGTTTGGTGCCGTCCTATGGAGCATCTGGAGGTCTAGTAACCTTATGGAGGGAGGGTGCTGTATAATCAGTGGAGGAGCTAATAGGAAGATTTTTTGTGTCCTTAAATGTTAGGAATGTGGGGGATGGCTTCACTTGGGTTTTAACCAATGTCTATTGGCCAAACTTGTATAGAGAGAGGAAGTTCAATGATTTCATTAATAATTGTGGTCTAAAGGAGTTACCCCTCTTACAAGCCAATTTTACATGGTCGAATTTCCAAGAAAACCCCCTTTGCTTGAAATTAGACAAATTCCTCTTTACTGAAGAGTGGGAGAACCACTGGACGAACTTGATGGCTAGAGCCTTACCCAGAGTCACCTCCGATCACTGCCCTATCCAGCTAAGTCCTGAAACCTTAACTTCTGGTCCTCAACCTTTTAGATTTGAGAGTATGTGGTTAACTCATCCAGATTTTGTGCACTTGATTGGGGAATGGTGGAGAGAAGAATTAAGAGGAGTGAATTGGAAGGGAGTAAGATTCCACAAAAAGTTGAAAAGGTTGAGATCCAAAATTAAGGAGTGGAGTAGGGAACACTTTGGAAGGATAGAGGAGCAAAAAATTGACTTGATGTCTAGGATTGAGGAACTTGATTCCAAGGAAGCTCAAAGGATGATGAGTGAGCAAGAATGGGTTTTGAGAGGAAATCTAAAGAAGGACCTGGAAGAGGTCCTTTTGAGAGAGGAAATCTCGTGGAGGCAAAAGTCGCGACATAAATGGATTAAGGAAGGGGACGGAAATACTAAATTTTTCCATGCATTGGTTAATGGGAGGAGAAAAAAAATTGTGGCTAAGTTAGAGGTGAATAGGGAGGAACTCACAAATCAAGATGAGATAGCCAGATGTTTTGTGGATCATCTCAAATCAATCTATAGGAAACCGTTGAATAATAGGCCAACTTTGGAAGAC